GCCGCCTCCCTGGCCACCCTGCTCAGGTGTGAGGTTTTTAGCGGGGGGAGGCAGCTACGCACTTGTTAGTGATCGCAACAGCCCGAATTGATGACTTTTGTACTCGTCCTTTTTTTAGTAGATGCCCTAGGACCGGTCAGAATTGTGTTTCAAATGAAATGGAAATAGTGTTCGCCTCTTCTTCAGTTTTAATTACAAATGGATCTACGCTCAATAAAACAATCACGCTTCTGCTTGTAACTTAGGATAGTGAGCTACACTGCCAGCTAAAACCTGTTTTGCTGTGGCCATGGTACAGGGTCCAAGACTACGTATGCGATTGGGAATATTTTTGCAAAAAGGTTTTTTTTCATTTGTCAACTGTTTTAGGGTTTTTTTTTTCTTTTTTTTTGTAATTTTTTTAAAGTATTCTGAGCAAAGAGCCCAAAGCTGTATTATACCTCAAGAAAAATGCTGCAACGCCCGTGTTAGCAGCTGAAAGCAGACTAGCACCAGTGCCTTTTACACGCAGGCCCTCTGGCAGGGACCTGGAAGATGAAAGCAATACTCCCATTTATGATTGCGATATTTGTCATTTTTAAGTAGTGAAATAGTGCTGTTGCTGCTCATCATAAAATAATCAAACGGTTAAAAAAAACACCTGCAGTGAATCCAAATGGTTACAGCAAAACACAAATATTGTATTATCCTTTTAAAATAGTGTAGTGTACTGATTACCTCTGATTAAAATAGAGTATGTGGACTAGTTGTTTTTTTTTTTTATAGTGTATTTATTAAAGACATGAGACTGGAATTTGCACCTCAACTGCTGCATCTCATGATTTAATATATTCTGAACTTGATACTCCGCTACAAAACACTCACTTTCAGTACAAATAAATATTTATATGTGTAACTGACTCTCGCTTTGTAATTTTTTTTGGGGAAAATTTCAACCACGTGGTTCCTCTGGGGCTGTGACAGGTCTGTAGTGGTAGGACCCCCCCCTCCCCGTTCCAGCCTTGCGTGCTCAGTGCCTCGGGTAGGGCGATGGCTGGACTGGCCAGCAGCGAAGCTGACCATGCCCGTTTCCCTTTGGAAACCTCAACTCATTTACTTTTTGCTGTCTGGGCTGTGTGAACAAGTCACGTTTAACAAGCACAGTGACGGCACTCTCTCCTGCTGCCCTGCACTTCTCTGCTGTTTGACCAGCACCTTCTAGCTGCTGAGACCCTGCAGAAATGGGGGACGATGCTGCGTCGCTTGGTCTCTTCCCAACGGACCTGCTGTAAACGGGCTGTGGGTCTCGCAGAGCGCCGCAGCCTGCGCTTCCCAGCGCGGGGAGAGACAAAGGGAGAGCTCGCGAGCCCTGCCAGCCCGTGCCATAGGGATGGAGGCCCCTTGCTGCTGGCCCGAGCCTGCCCTGGCGCAGGGCTGTGCTCTCAGCTCGCCCCCCCCGGGGTCCCCCCCCCCACACCAACCACGGAGAAAAAAAAAAAAAAAAAAAAAAAAAAAAAAAAAAAAAAAAAAAAAAAAAAAAAAAAAAAAAAAAAAAAAAAAAAAAAAAAAAAAAAAAAAAAAAAAAAAAAAAAAAAAAAAAAAGAAAGCTGTATTTGCAGAATTCAGACATGTGCACACTGGTGAAGGTTACAGAAAACAAATGAACAAAAACACAGAGCAAACAACACCACATTTATTTACCTGTTACTTAAGACTACTCCAAAGGTTTCTGTTGGCGCTGCAGTATCGGGCTGGCAAGATGAGCCGCTTTACAGCCCAGGGACGATTTAGGTAGGGTCTGTACTGTGCACACTGCCTACTGGCGACTAAGCAGATCATTTACCTGCTGGGACAGTCTATGCCTCTTCCTGCCAGAGGATTTGACCTTTAAACCCCAAGAAAGACCCATTTCTCACACAAAACATTACATTACAACTCGGAGCTCGGTACCGGAGGCTGAAACCAGGCTTGGCTTGAGCAGCTGGCCCCAGAGCCACGGGAGAGGGGTTAGGTTTGCCTCCACTCTAAGGAGCCGCAGGATCAGATGGTGAGGACCAAACGGCTGGAGACATGGAATTAAAGCTTTGACAAGAACTCCCCCAAGGGCAGCAGCAGCGGGCGAGCATGGAAAAGTCCTTGGAAAAGTGGAAGTTACACTCCAGCTGCAGGAACTGTCCTTGGGGGCAATTACAAATAACCCCTTGCGCCTCTTCAAAACAGTCCCTTAAGCCTGCAGCGATGCGTTATAGGCACGAGGTAAAGGCCAGACCCAGCCAGCAAACAGCCAGGTTTTTGGAGAAACACGCAAAAAGGAGATCAGAGCTCAGCTGGCGACTAGTGGATGCCCCCGGCATCTGCAGTCAGGGGTTTGTTCCTGTTCCCGTGCGCTGTTTGACATTTAAACTCGCTTGAGGACACACTTTACTGTCACTCTATTAAAACCAATTAAGACGGTTTTCTTCAGCTGCCTGCACTAGATCTTTACCGTAAAGTAGGAAGAACCCTGAAAAAAGGAAGGAGACGCAGGACGAGCTGCGCTATCGCACTTCTCAGGTGCAACACCTACGGCCAGGGGCTGGGAGAACTTCAGAGCCAGAGCAGGCACGGGAAACAAACTGCATAGCTGGAGAACTTCAGCTGGCACACGCGTAATTTAAACCTCCTGAGAAACCAGCTTCCAGTAAGTAGCACTATTTGCATGTTTAATTTTAAGGCTCTCCCAGAGCTAGCATTGACTTACATCACTACTAACGTGACTTGTGGGATTAGCATTCCAGACCCCAGACTTTTTTTAGATTTCCATAGCCCAGTATTTTCTGGTGTGCCTAATTTTCTACGTCCTTGTGTTAGAGCAAGATGCATGTACCATAGACTTTTTACCCTATATCAAAAAGCAAAGGAATTACTAAAAGAAACCCCCCATGTTCAAGATTAAATTGGGTCAAACTAAGACCTACTGCAAGGGGTGCGTTACACAACCAGTGTGCCAGACAAAAGGACACCAGTGAGAAAGCTGAGCTTAATGGAAAGTGTCATTGGCACCCGATACTGTGCTGGCTGGCTCCACCTGTCTTTATTTTACTTTGCAGCGCATTTCGTTTTCTATCGTTATCTTGCTTTCAATGCTTACCTTCCCTCAAGAGCTAGCAGAGCTGTGACACAGTGTACCACCCCGGGGGTTTGAACAATTCCAATTACATATTTGTGTTGAATTAGTGCACAATTCATAATATTATAAGAAGAAAAATCAAGTTACTGATAACCTACTGACAATAACTTTATCAAAACACTTCTGCCACTTACATTTTTAACCCTTTGCCTTTATCACTACGCAACGTTACATGAATTTACTAAAACTGTTACCAGCAAGTACAGCAGAACATGGCTAAATCACATTTATAAACCTAAACCCCATTCTCTTCTCTCCAATTTTGCAGATCGGAGCATGTGACAGAGCAAAACATCACAAAACATCCCTCCGCGCCTCAGAGCTTTGCATATGAGACTTCATGGTACAACGCCACACTGCAGCAGCGGGTCTTCCAGAGGAGACTAAAATAGCAGCAAGCCCTCGTTACAATGCATAATAGATCAGAAAGCCACAATTTCAGAGAGCTTATAATATGTGGGGCTTTATGAAAGACCAGTTAAGATTCTACTCTAATTACTCACATCAAGGGAAAAATAAAAATAAAACCAGCATTCATTTAAAAAGCCTGAAAAAGCAGAATTCATACAAAATGAAAAGTATTCAAACATTTTTACACTAGTTTACTATCTTTACTAAATGGCACCAGATTTCAAGTGGTCATGTGAAAGAAAAAATCAGTAACACTTCAAATTTTGCCTGAAAGTTATTCTAGAAGCAGAATTTCTATCTTCGTATTTGCTGCTAAAAGGAAGAAGTAAATGTGAATTGAGTATCGATGAATCTTTAATCTATACATCTTCTGATTTGGTTTGATTCAGTAAGTAGAAAAGGTTTTCCATACTCAAGTTATCTACAGATTATGTCTATATATAAAAAAATGTGTGGATATATACATTTAATACATACACACACGCTCGTACATATATACACAAACTGGTAATGGATCGTCTCCCCTCCACAGCAGTGACCGCTGAACCCACGCACCCCGTCAGAACCTGCTTTAAGGCTGCACAGTGTATCGATTATGGGACAAGACACAGGCAGTTGCTCTTGGTCTGGGCTATAATTGTTCCACTTCATGATCTATTGTTACGCTTCTAGTTGCGCATGACGAAGTTTCAATAACTTAGAAGTTGTTGTATAAAAACAATTCCAGAAACAGAACTCCCTTATTCCAGGAACATCCCCGCTCCCACCCCCTGACATTGTTTTTGCTAACTGATTACAGAAGTCAAACTAAATCACATCAGAAACTGCAAACGCACTCTTTTGTCTTAATCTAAACTAACGTGCATCAAAACATTCTGCAGTGTGGCATCCTTCGATTTTCTCATCTTCTCAATTGCCCTGTGGAGATCCTGCTGCTGCACAGGCCGAATTTCATCTTCGTCGTGGCTTTAAAAGAAAGAGAGGAAGGAAAAAAAGCAAGATAATGACTCAGGTGCTGTGTAACAGCTATTCAAACAACAAGAAGCAGTCACTGAAAATAGCAGCTCTGACATGGATCCAGCATTACACTGGAAACATGCCGCTGTCCATGCACGTATTACCTGCAAGTAGGGGAGATAATCAGAGGAACATCACAGCAAGTTGGAGTTACGCGCGTGCAAGAGCGTTACCAGCATTTAAGCCTGGTAATATAGCGCAGTAATATCACTTGTTCCTTCATGCCACCTCAAGCTTGACACCTTGGAACAAACAGTCTTATTTTCAGAGTCAAAGTGAATAAAGGTAACTTACTTGTTGGGATTTTTTGTTGTATAGAGGCAATTTGTCAAGAAAAAGAGAACCTCCTGCTTTCTGCGAATCACAGCAAGGTTTTTTTTAAACCTCTATAAATTTGCAATTCAAATCCGAAAAGACAAACTAATAATTGGACAGTGTGTAGCACCAGGAGCGTTCACCATTGCTGTTCAGCTATCATAACAGACAGAATAAAGACACATACTTCTCTTCTTCACAGGCAGAATTAACATATTCCCTGACACAGAGGAGTGCTGCATCCCGGCACATTTCTTTCAGATCGCTGCCTGAGAAGCCGTCAGTCTCTTTAGCAACTTCTAGGAGATCTACATGCCTGTCCACCTGCCAAAAAACGAAAGGTCAAAGCATGAAAACTCTGAAGTCATTTACTTTGTTCACCAAGGACAAGAAACAGTCACCTCCAAGTATTTTTACCCGCCCTAGGAAGATCTTTTTCAGTCTTGACTTTTTTTGAGAGCTAAAAGCAGATTATTTTATTAACTTACAGTTTGAACCCTCCAAGTAGTTCATTTCATTAAATGAAACTGATGCTTCATCTCATAAAATTCTGTAGCTCATAAAGAAAAACAAAGAACAGGCAGCCGAAAGTGAACCATCATATTAGCATATTCTGTTACGGAGACAGCTCCTGTGCTGTTTTGGAAGGCTACTGGATGGCAAAAACTGGATCACAGAAATAATGACCCATTTTCTCAAATGCCCACACAAGTTTCCTGCAACAGCACTGCTTTTGATGGTAAAGGGCTCGATCAGACCTTACGTGCATCTTTTTATCTGTAGACAATGAACACTACCCAAGGGGTCTCCTTTCACAGCCACAGCCCCTTTTTTATACATTATTTGAAAGAGTGCATTTTGTTTTCATAAACACTTCTTTTGACCAGTAACGCAGCAAGGCTGGAAAAAGTTCCTGTCACATTTACGTTTCGTTGTTGCCACCTTTCAGTGCAGAATAAGAACTTCAAAAGCAGTTGTTCACTATCTCAGCAACTCAGTTGTTTGCTGAGTTACTGAACAACTGCTCCTACTTTATACAACCATGAAACGGGGAACTCTGAGGCAAAACAACGTGTCTAACTCCGTGCACTGGATCAGAGGCTGAACTCGTTCCAGCCAGGACCCCGTATTTATTCCGTCCATTTACAGAACCTCTGACAACAGCCTCTTCTGGCACATTTTCCAATGCATCGGTATTTTATTTTCAAAAAGTTAAAAGCCAAACTAATCTAATAAAAGGCTGAACTTAAGGGGTGACTTCTTCTAAGAGGGAAACTATTCCGTGGTGATGAAGGCAAAGCCCCAGGTGTAACCTTTGCTGCTTCCAACCACCCCTTCAGCCCATGCACTCCCCAGGGTCACCCGAGAACGCCCCAACGTCCACTGAGCACCCTTCCAATTCCCCACCGTCCCTCCTGCTTTTCTTGAAGGACAAGGGTTACAGCGATACTGTGCTGTTGGCTCAGATCTTGAGCTTGTACTCGATCCCCAGATCCCTGACCTACGACTCAGCACGCAGTGCTCTGGCTTGGGTCTGGAGCGAGCCATCTGGCTCCCCCAGGCACGGAAATTAAGGCAAAAGCAACAGCTGGCTTACACTGAAGTGCCTCCTACAGACACTATAGCCTGGCTGTCTTGAAGTGCTTTGCTTTAAAGCATGATCCTGCACACAAATACCGAAGCCAGTAACAGTCAGCTGCGGATCTGCAACGTATTTGCTCAGTGTGGGGCTGAAGCCCATCAAGAATTGAACGGAGCGGCACAGCTGGCTAAGAATAAATAGAAAATGGGGATGTTGTGTAGCAGGCATTAACAAGGATTTCCCTTCGAGTGAGAAAGAAACAAGATTTTAAGACAGGCAGGGAAAACTGAGTGCGTGACGACTACTGTCGTGTGAAGGACTGCCAAGAAGTTTGTCACCCTGGCTGAAAATAAGCTGGGCTTGGGCGATCCAATTCTTCCTCCTGTGGGATAACCAATACAGGCTGATTTTCCGCCCCCCCCTCCCCAAAAAATGTTATTTGTGTGGCTGTGATTCACTGCCCGGTGCTTGATATACCTTGCATTCTTTCAGGGGCATATTCAGGAGCCAGTTTAGGTTTTTGCTGAAGGCCTTCAGGCCAAGGTGCTGCAACTCCCAGGCCCAGCTGCCGAGGCAAAGGAGCCGCAGAGTCCACCCGCGTGCAAGCGCTGGGTGGCTGCAGACATTCAGGGAGCCTGTAAAAAGGTCTGTTATTTGGCATACCTCCCTAACAGCTCTTGAAGAGAAATTTGAGTCTGAAATCACCACCTGCACGATTGTTGGAGATTTTCTGCAAACAGGTCAGCTCTTCCTCCACAACTCCTTCAGCATTTCGTAGCAGTTCCTTTTTCACATCTATGTCTAGTATTTTGCAAAAAAGCCAACCTATATACTAATCCTATACAAACAATCCAAAATGACCATCTGCAAAGCAACCTCCCCAATATCTCAGCCATTCTCAATGATGAGCTGTGATTTTTAGGCCTCTTGAAAAATATAAGTTGGTTTTACTAACGAATGATATTTATTACGATAGACCTCAACTAAGAGGCGCTTTGCAACATTAACTTCAAGACAATTAGTGCTGCAGAATAAATTTGGCAGGAACCTCCAGTAACATAGGTCCCATATCTGGCCGACGACACTACCAGATGTGCTCACAACTACCCCTTCCCCTCATCTTGGAAAGCAGATGGCGACACGAACACCATACAATATTAGCAACAGCATCTGTAGTAGTTTTCCTCTAAAGGAAATATGAACTACGGATCAAAGTGCAAAAAGCAGCACTGTCAAAAAATGTCATTCCTCCTTTCTTGGCTTGAGCCAATAGACTGTACAAAGTTAAAAAAATTCAGCATCTCTTCTCCCTGCTTCATGATGTCTTGAAATTTCTTTTACTGATCAAAGTGATTTCTAAACATGATTCACCTTAGCTTCTTTAGAGAGATAAATATATTATCTTGTTATATAACAAGAAAATGGAGACAGAGAAATTAAGTAATATTCCTCGGAGATGGTGATTCACCACAAAATCCAAGATTGCTGCTCTGACTGAGGCTCACGCTTAAACCAGTAGACAACTCTACTGCTTTAATTTAACGCCACACCTAAAACCACACAAGATTCCTAAGTTATAATCAGAAATACCCTGGTAGATAATGTCTACCTTACTCCAAGACAGTCAATTATACAACATGTTTTCTACAACTCCAGAGCTTGCATTTATGAAAACAGTAATACAGCAAATTAACCATTAAAAGAAGTCTACTTACATTTTCATTTTTCAAAATTAGCTTCAAGATTGCTTCTCTTTGTTTCAGAGCCTTAAACAAAAGAGATTAAAGTTACTAGGGTACAAAAATAAACATATGTAACATCTATTTCAATTTTGCACAGCGTGGGCTTTCAGACACAATTCAGTGACACAAGCTGATCCCTCAAACGGGAGATGTGATACACACTAAGCAAACCTATCTGATGGTAAATCACGCAGCAAAACAAGATGTAGGGTACTCTGACTCCAGGAGCACATGAAACTAAACGTTTGAGCAAATACATTTATACTAACTACAGGGAAAGGGAAAATGCACTGACATTTAGTCTTACTTTGCCCTAAGTGAAAGCAGCTGTCTCCAAATATTTCCCATCATCTTTAACGGAGGGCAGACTCTCTAGATCTAGGGGATGCTTTCAATACTTTGCTAAATCAGATGAAGAGGATAAACTGTTCTGCTTAAAGAAAAAAAAAAAAAATTAATTCTACAGATGATGCTTGGGAAATTTTAAGCAATATAAATCACATACTGTGATGAGGTTACTGCAAGAAACAGTTAAGTCCTGAGCACATCCTGAGCATAGCAAGATAAAACACAGGCAGCAAAGGGACCCTTTCTTGTGTCTCCCAAACCCAAACTTGTCCTAAATTCCCTTTCATCGTTAAAAAGGGAAAAAATTATCCCACAGATACTCTGGCAGCTGAACAGTTGATACTCTGTCTCAAAAAATACTTCTTCCCTTTCCCTCTGCCTCGCAGATAATTTCTTACGAGTAATTTTGGGCATTTTAATCTCAAACTTAGTTATAAAATCTGCAAGGCTTTAGCTACTCTACAGCGATACTACCTGTGCACACTTCCAATCCACAGGACATAAATGATCTTGGCCCTCAATAAAAGAGTTGTAACCAATCTTGGTTGTATCACAAAGTACCACAGACAAGAACAAGAGACAAGCAGTAAGTTCATGAGATGGCTGTAGCGGGGCAAGGAAAGTTACGTGCCCGTGCCCTAAATGACACCTCCTGTTGTCATTCTGATCCTGGGAGAGGGAGCCAACGCCTGTAACACCCTGAGGCACTGTGGATAATGCACCCTTCTAACAAGGGTTCTTGATAGAAAGACATGATAAAGTACTAAAATACACATCCTTGCCCCTTACTAATTCAAGGAAAACTTGAAGATGAGTAAGGTGTACGAAACCCTATAAGCAGGCATCGCAGCGAAATAGTTACTACCTTATAAATGCTTTGTTTTGAAAAGTATCCGCCCACAAGGAGTGAAAGCCAGTTCAAACAAGATGGGTCTGGGAACATGACTACTCTCTTGCACAATCAATAAGAGCTTTACTCCTCCAGTTTTGTCTCTAAGTTTCTGCAAAAAATGAATAATGAAGGGTATTTCTGTAGCCAGAAGGGAATACTGACAACCACGACTGAACTCTTTATAATATTGATAAAGATGTCTCGTGATATCGCTAAGTGTTCGAAGGCGACTAAAATACCTTGAAAAGGATGGCAACAGCAAAATTTATAGTAAGGGTAACATTGTGATGGGTGGCATAATTGATAAAGACCTTAATTACTGCCTGTTTGGCATAAATCGTAAGTGGAATAAAAACAGTTTTCCAGATTGCTTGCAGTGCCTGACTGTGGAAAGGCTTGAAAAGAATGTAGGCTTTGGTATGCAGATTTCATTCCCTCTTCTCTCCTTGAAAACTAAATACTGTGTATCAAGAGGGTATAAATGGTAGTCAATATGTACCTGCTTCTTGACACTATCCGACCTGGGTGCCACTCTCCCCGCAGGAAAGTGTGTGCAGTCACTTTTGTGCTTTTTGTGATTATTTTCAAGTTAAAACTAAGCTCTTTCCAGAGTGCAGCGTCTAAGGCACTCCACTCTTCTAGATGAAGAAAACTGCGGGAAGCTCTCAGAGCACATGGAGTTGTTTCAGATAAAAGACCCAAGGAATCAAGATTTTCGTGAGAAACTTCCCCTTAAAAAGCAAAGTTATATACGTGCTTCTAAAAAACTAAAACCAGATCAAATTAATACAGTATTTCTTCAGAAAAAAAAACCCAAAACCAAACAGAGATGTGTGTTTCCTGGCTGCTAAGGCACCTGCCTGTAGCTCAGCCACTAGGCACGCTGTTCAGGCAAGCCTGGCATGACTTACAGGTTGGTTGATGTGAAACCGGGTCGGCATTCTTCTCATGATTGCAGAGTCAAGATCCTGAGGACGGTTGGTGGCTCCCATCACTATCACCTGTATACACCAACAGCAAAAACTAGTCAGCCTGAAACCAGCTTTTGAAAACATTGCCGAATTGGAGTTTCAAAACCAAACATGTGACTCTTCCACACTTTATCAAGAACATCGACATTTAAAGAAGTTACATAAGGTTTCTTGGTACTGATTTCAGCAACTGGATTTAAACAGGCAGCTTAAGAGAACGTTGGTACCACAGAGTACCATCTGGGTGGAGATTTTTACATTAGTCTGAAGCCTTCTGAGCCCAATTTGAAAGTTCAAGCTCTAAGCAGTAACCCAGAACTTCTGCTTGTAAGTCTTGGCAATGTCTCTTTAGTTCCTGGTGGTCTGGAAGGAACTTGAAAGGAGATGTTTTGATAAGTTATTAAAAAATGTGGCACTTCTGTGCTGTGTTGAAAAAAGAAAGGCAATCAGTTCACCAGGATGACCAAATTGGCAGCTTTCGCGTACACTGAAATGCTGTTTCTTTTTTTAAGCATTGAAAAAAGGATTAGAAGTCAACAAGAACCTATATGCACTGGTATACTGTAACAGCAGCACATTAGATATGTACAAGCCAAGTTCAATACAAGGAGAATATTTATGTCATTTGACCGCATTCCAGTTATTAGTTTAAGAACAAATTTACTTCCCATTCACACCAGCCTTGTTTTCTCATTTGTTATTGTAAGTTATGTACATTGTAAATACCCAGTCACGAAAGTGAAAAATGTCAGGGAAATTAATCTCCTATCAATACAGTTTCCTGACGTGATTCGGGTCTTTTGTCTGGGGTCACTGTTCCGCAGCCAGCCCTGGCAGCTCCAGCAGCCCCTGGCCAGGCGGGGCTGCGTGTCCCGGAGCAGAGTCACCCTGCCACCTAGAGGCTTAATTACACGGTGGCAAATTGCTATGCACAGAAAAAGCCAAAAGGCACATTTTTCGCCGGGGTTCCGGCAGCCTTCACCTTCTAGAAAGCGTTATGCATGCAAGCGCTTTGCGCTTGCCAAACGCAAGCCAGTGTTTGGTGAGCTGCCTCTTGCCAAGAGGCATCACGGCACCCATGCGGTGCTTGCCCGGGGTCTGCACCAAGGCCCAACGTTGGAGCCGAAGCGTTGCTCCCTCTCTGCTACCAGAGCTGAGGAGCCTTCCCAAAACCGGCTTTGTCTGCAGGGTCTGCGAAGGTGGGACCCCCCCAGGGCACAAATGTATGGGGCTTCCAGACTTGAACTGCCCCTTCAAGCAGCACAGCTCTGTTTTCCAGGCACTGTGCCCCAAGTTCCTGCCAGACTCAAGACTATATCCTTGGCAGGTTTAGCCCAAAGCTGAACACGCTTTTCAGGTGCAATCAAGACAGGAACAAATAACATTCATCACAACACTTATTTACAATTTCCTCCTAGCATTTGGAATTTTTATTACCGTAACAAAAGCCAAATTTAATCCTTATTCAAAGGAAATTTGTTTGGCAAGAATCAGACAAGCAACCCAAAGCTCCCAAGTAAACATTTGTAATTAACAAAAGAGCCCAGCGAGCTGGCTGTCAAAAACCGAGACAATGCAAACGTCAAAACCATCGCTTAAAGAACACTTCCTGAATTGCAATGACATCTCGGGGAGGAGCCCGAAATATGGTACTGCTGAAAAACTCCCCAGAAACCTGAATCAACCCCTGCGGTGTCTCCAGCCAATTGTTTGCCTTGCATTTTACTTTGGTGGCTCCCTACCCTGCAGAGGCATACGAGTAAAGGACAAGAGCGACTTGTTCAGGCTCTGCATGCTGAACTCGAGAGGTGGTAAGACCACATATTGTCTTACTGCAGGGAATGAACAATTTGACTTGCTACAAGAAGTTGTCAGTATATTGGGAAAAAAGATAATACATCCAAATACTGGAAGAAATGTGGGCTTGCAAGATCATATTAGCTTCCTGTTAAGCGTTCATACCATTGGCCTCTTATTAGTGGTAAGCACTCTGCTTTAAAGCTCCTCAGTACATATATTCACTGTGTTCTAATCAGTTTTTAAAAAAATCAACTGAAAAAAAATCTTTAGCACAAGTTTCAGAGAGGAGGAAAAGCAGATTTTACTAGGGAAGAACTAATGGAGGTCAGAGCATCAGAACCCATTCACAGAAAAATACAGATTAAAAAGGCTGAAAATTTTAAAATGGGAGAATAAACATCCTTTTTAAAGGCCTTAAAAACTGCTCCAGGTGACAGTTCAGAAACATACTAAACAGGCTTTTGTCTATGCTACATTCAAGTCATTTATTTCATAGATGTTGTTTGTTTGTTTTTACAGCACCAGCAGCTTTTTTATTTTTTTTTCCTCTCCAAAATACAGTACTTCTGTTGAGATTATGGGAGGGGGACTGAAGCGTACAGGAATAATGGGATGGAAGCATGGCTCCATTTAATAGTATTTGTCTTTGGTAACATCAACTTCTCTACCCTTTCAGATTAAGTCCAGAGCCTAGTGCTTGACTAATGCTAATCTAATGCTTTTCTGGAAACTAACCAACCAACCTGCAACTGGGATGAATACTCAGATCTTTCAATACCTTCCCTGAAATCAAACATTCACTTCACCTGAAGAAAATATTGTTGACAAAATGTTTTTCAAAACAGTTTAAAAATTCCCAATTTTGGCAGCTCAAACTATACAGCTATATTATTGAGACTTCTGAAAATAACACCTCTTAATTAAAACCAAAATACCTACAAACCCAGTCCTCTCAAGAAGAAAAATGATCTATTAATACAACTCATTTCATTCCCATAATATGCTGGTAATCACTAACACTGACAGGTAAAGAAACTCTTCTGGCAATTATTACTACTTGCAATCTGCTACTCTTCCCAAGCGGCTCAGTGCACAGTAACCGAGAGGGAAGAATCACATTGCTTTTCTCGTCATCCTTTGTCCTTACCTGGCAGTTATAATCCGTGTCCAGTCCATCCCACAGACTCATGAACTGAGCTTTCATCATAGCTGTAGCTTCATGGTCAGAACTCGATCGACTTCGTAAGAAGGAATCTGTATTAAAGGATTCAGTAGAGTGGTTTACTTTCAATCCTGCCATAGAAACTATGTTGTTTGATTTCTCATGTGCAGACTTGTGCTATTCTCTATCTTATAAATACTTTTTTTAATAAACATTGTCAACAAATGAAAAATATTTCTTATGATGAAGAATAGGAAAGTGGAATCTCACCATATTTTTAAGCACATCTTTTAAATTACATTACACGAGTGTGCACCTATTGCATGAGATTGTCCAAATCTTGTGCTCCACATTTTCACTTTCCTGAATTCATGGAAAGTGTAACTTTCACCTTAATTTCTCATGCAAAGACGGAAGCATTCAGAGTCTGGCAAGCTAGAAGACACCAAAGCACAGGAGAACAGCAAGCTGCTGTAAAGTAGGCTATACACTTTGTTATGCAGTGCTCTAACTCTGCTAGTGGTTGCCTAAAGAATTTCCAACAGCTAGAAAAACACCACGTTTTTCACACCTATACAAAAGGATAAAAAGCATCTTAAGAACATAGCCCCTTCATAAACCTAAACTGTGGAAAAGGTAAAAGCTTCGTCAGGCTCTGTTTCTGCAAACCGTACAACTCACTTTAAGAAGCACCAGTGCTACGAGACAACAAGCAATTTTACCTGAACTGCTCAAGTTCACAGGGACTTAAACACTAATGTGACAAGTCCAAATGCACCGAACAACTGGCACCTTTGCTGTCTTCCCAGCTGAACTTCCCATCCTACTTCTTCAGCCTTATTACACTATTATTCCTGAGCTCTCCTAAACCTGTATTTTGTTTTCCATTATGTGCCCTCACGGCTGAAGTGTATTTGGTGATGGGTTTCCTGAATAAGTAGTTCCCTTGACAGAACAAAAGCTTTCCTCACGAACCACCTTAGCCCAACCAAAAATAAGCAGCAACTTGTTCTACTTGTAATTTCCCGCACTAACAGAAGGAAGAAATACACTGGTTTTCCTCATTTGCCACCATTACTTTACAATAGTATTTATATTACTAAACCTTGTTCCATTATCACTCTTTTTAAGGAAAAGATGACAGTAGATCAATATACCCATCCAGATGAACCTACAGTTTAACGTCACTCCGCTATAGTTACTTACAAAAAGAGATAGATTTTTACCTATTTCGTCAATAAAAATGATGGACGGTTGGAGCTTTATAGCAAGGGAGAAGACAGCAGCAGCCAGTTTTTGAGACTCTCCATACCACTTGTCCGTCAGTGTTGAAGGCTGCAGATTAATAAATCGGCAACCTGCTTCCTTTGCTGTAGCTTTGGCGATCAGCGTTTTGCCGCAACCAGGAGGGCCATAGAGAAGTACTCCTGAAAAAGTAACGGTGTTAAAGCTCTCTGGTCGCTCTACTGAAAACATGCTTTGGTATGACAGACCTGATAGTGTCCAGGCGTGTATTTTATCCAAGTTTTAAAAGATAAGAAACCAAGTTACACAGTGTTCCATCAAATCAGAGTTATTTAAGATATCCTTATTATAAAATTAAAGCTAAGAATAGATTATCTAAAGACAGGTATGGTGAAACTGAAGGGAGACATCTGTCTGAAAGATGACTGTTTTACTACTGTGACTATAAAGGTTACATACAAGTAAGACCCTATTTATTTCCTGTAAGCATTTGACAGGCCTGTTTATAGCCAGTTTCAGCCTTGCTAATATAACTTAGCACAGAGGGGAGACCGGGGGGGGAAGTCCACAAACATTTTAAACAAATTACCCACAATTAAATATGACGTCTCATATTATTTTTAAACTTATCATAGTGAAAGAATTCACAGTAGTGTTTTTCTAACATAGTTGTAAAGAAAACAATTTAATGAAAAAAAATTAAGTCAAATAAGCCTCAAACACAGAGAATTACTAGGGGTTTTTTTCTGTTTATGTGACTGGCAACCACAAACATAATTACTCTGAAGCAATGACTTCCTATTAACACACAGTGCAAGCCACTAATAAAACTGGGGAGCTTGCCCTATATGGAAAGTCTGCTTTAAAAAGATAAATAAAAAATAATTTTTTCCTTCAGCTTACTAGATCATGACATTAAAGTAATTTTCCAGACAGTTTCAATTTGTGACTTAAACAGAAAGTAGCCTGGAAAAACTAAACCAGTTACCAAAGTGCTTCATTTTCCACCACTTAGGACACGAAACTGAGATGGTCACAGATACAGGCAGTAATTAATAGTTTTCAGAGAATTTTCAGAAGACAATATTCCAGGGATCAGAGGAGTAAAGATAAACTTTGGCATTTTGTCCAACATTTTAGGTTCAAATTCTGCTTGTTTGCAGCAACATACAGCAAATATGGCTGTAAGCATTCCAGCAGAGAGACTCCAACTTCTCTTTTACTGTTGGAAAGTTAATTTGTCACCCCGCCGGTTTCCTTATTGCCTCAACACTGTGCAACTCAACTCCAGAGAAAATGAAGGGATCTCCAGAATCAAAATGGGATCTCTGTCTCTCTGGATGACTGGAATTTCTAGGACTAGAACCGAGAGATGTCTGCAAGATTAGCTTACATTGACGTCTCATGTTTATGACTTATGTTTCTATGACACCATAGAAATATTAACCAAGTGTAAAAAGCTGTACAGCAGGGTTATAGCTCACCTCTAACAAAGGACAAGATGGGGTATAAGAAGAAAAAAATTGACAATTTAGGCAGTTAAAAATGCAGGCTACATAGATTAGTGCACCAAAGTGTAACATCAATAACTGAAAAGCAATTATTGCTTCATTAGTAAAATAAAACTTATTCACTAGAACTTGATTTCACGGCAAGGGAAGATGAAAAACCTGAGGGTTTTCCCTGGCATCAGTCCTAATGGTTGCACTTTGGACTGGCAACCCACTTCCTCTTTC